CTTTACTGTCACTCTTAATAAGAGCAGCATTGGAGAGTAGTGTGCAATGATGTATTATATAAGTGAGCAAAGTCGAATGAGAAATAGAGATAATTGTAGCAACTCTCTAAACCTAATACTTTTATAATACTAAATCGAGTCTAATGACTTCGAATCTCGTTGACTCTTAACGATTGCAGTGTTTAGTGATAGTTAAGGATAAATGAAAACATCATTCTAATCATGTAATACCAGACGATTTTAACGAATCAGAAACCATTGTCATATGTTGTCTAGGCAAATTCGTTCACATGAAACCTTTTGACATGCAGCTGATATTAATGGTTTTGTATAAAAGTTTTCGCTTGTCCACCAGACAGGAAAAGGGTCGGAAAAACCTTTGACAGGATTCGCTCAGGCAGAAGGCTTCGTAGGAAATATATGGATCCATTTTCTTTTCCCAAAGTACGAAACTTTTGTATTGGACGAAACTATTGAGGCTTCTCTACAAATCATAGGGAGTTTGGTAAAGAAGATACGAAACGTTTTTTGATCCTAGGAAGAGACGACGGTTTCATGTGACAAGTACGAAACTCTTTGCTTTTTTTCTGAACCTAGAATTGATTTAGTATGAAAGATACTAAACTTGTGGAATTTTTCTGAACCAAAAAAGATTTGGCAGGGAAAGTGCAAAACGATTTTCATTTCACGAAACCTAAAGAATTTCCGTATCGAAATGCGAAACTTGTAAGGTTCATCAATAAACCTATTTTTTAGAGTCCAGTTGATGATCAAGATCGAAGCAAATTATCGGTTTTATATTAAACATATTAGTATATTACTCTATAAAATATGTATCCTTGCTAATTGTCAATGATAAATCGATGATATTGTATGCATAGTGATTTTTCGGACAGACAAGCTTTTGTAAACTACATTGTTTGTTGATCATAAGACATGCCATAAGCATATCCAATAGAATAAGCACATTTCCAAACTTTCAAAAGTGTTCACATTTGTATAATAATTGGAATCGATCTCTTGTATGAATCAGACGAACATCTTTTGGAAGCTGGTTTTCATCTTTAAAATTGAAAACTTAATATAATTCTTTCAATTTGTCTAAGAAAACGGAAGCGAATTGAACTCAACAACGTAAAAGCATTGAGACGATCAATAGTACAGATCAAAATTAACTTGAATGATTCCAGATAATCTCGATACATTGTCGCGGCTGCTTTCAAACCGCCGAGATCAGATATTTCCCGTCGATCTTAGCTTTAAGCCAGAAAGCGATAACTCAATATTGAATCAGATGTTTCTTACATATCCATTGAGGTCAGTCTTTACACATCTCATATATATATATATTCATTTGAAGAAGCAACATAATGCTTCAGACTTGCAAAATTACTTCGCAATGAATGCCTCACAGCTTGTCTCTGTTTTATTCACCGCTTTTGTTTTGCGTTGGATTATATTTAAAAGAATGCACAAAAAAGTGATAATGCATACTCTTGCGCAGAGGTGGTACCTTATCTAATGAGTGTTTCGAGAGGAAAGGTTATTGCTAATTGGAAACTACTACCAATGCTTCACGTTGACTTTATGTCAATGTAATTTTTCCTGCCTCTTCGGAAGCATCGAATAAAAAAACAGATGAGAAACGAGAGAAAAATGATCTTAATGAATGAGCATTTCATCGAAATTCTAAAATAATTCCTAATTCATTTATTTTTGAAACTCTTTAGTATCGACGCAGTAATAAAAATTGAAATTTTTTCATATTGAACAATTGATTACTTGATGTATCAGAAAAATAAATGGTGGAAACTTCTGGTATATAAATCATTGAAGAATGCTTTGATTGTCAATAGAGACCAACTCGGTGATTCTTATTGTTAAATAATATGATAGAAAGCAACTAAGCTTGTTCTGAATTGAAAATGCCTATGTTTCAGTCTTTAAGAAGTATTTCTCTGAAATATAGTTATGCAACGAATTCGATTGTATTATAAAGAGAACAATATCGAATGACACAAACACTTTCGCTTACTTTATGAATCATTAAAATAGAAATCTATCATTGATATTATGTTCGAAACATTTCCGTCCCATGTTAAGGCTAAACTTTTTATCGAAGAACAGGTAAAAAAACGAAAAGAATCATTTCGAATAAAATCTACAATTTTTTTTAAATATAAACATATCCGAGAATATTTTTATGATTGATTATTTCAAAACAATCTTCTTAATTAATTCTTTTTAAATAAACAGTGAAACAGAACACACAACTACTCTGAGTGAATATCCTTGATATAAATTCAACATTCTATCGACAATGATCGATAACTATCTTCCAGGCAAGTTTCGTGCGTTTCCTTCAATTACATGGAAAAGTTTTGTCAAATGTTATTTTATCTATTCAAAGGCAGGCATCTCTGATTCTCGTTCCCAATTGAATTGGGATATTGAACAAACACTTTCTTCAATGGCATTGAGTGAACTTTTAGAAGAACTATTATTAGAAAATGACTCAAGAACACTTTATAATTTTGTGATTATGCGTCATTGTTTAGTATTTGCTTCGATTTCTCGTTTTCAAAACATATAATTGAAGATCACGGATTTTTACTGTATATATATATATATATATATATCGATCATCAGAAGTATTAATCGAATAAACTGTCAAAATTTTCAATCATTTAACTCTAAAATTACAATTTAAAGGTATCCTATTTCAAAAAGATGCTTACCAGTCCACTAAACATTGAATTATCTTGAAAGCTCAACAAAATTTATGGATTAGATATGATCAATACATTGAATAAATCTATGCTATATCAGTTACTTAATATAAAGATATTATGATTTTACACAGACTGATATTGAACAGATTTGTCATCGAAAATAAAACAGAAATGAACAAATTTTGATTCAATGATTTATTAGAAAAAGAAACAATGCTATTTCCCCTCTATGTTCTGTATCATCAAACATCAACTTCAGTAATTCTTTTTTCACTTTCAAAGAAGTACACGAAAAATATTTGTTTAAAAAATGAATAAGATTATTAAGTCAATGGAGCTACATATATCAATGTTAATTTAAGTTGTTCAATGAACAATAATAAGATGAAAGAGTGTTCAACAAAATATGTTAATATAACAATTTATAAAAATTGATATGACACAATTATGAATATTGCACTGATAATAATGGAAAGTTTTGATTCGTTGATATTCACAAAAAACTCTTACTCTTGTATGATAAAGAGAGCAGATGATGACTTTCGTAAAATACAAAGTCAATCCGATGATGAATGAGATTTGATAATCAGTCAAACTGCTCGTTCATTTCGTATATATATTCTTTCTTGTATTTTTTCTTGGTATTGAGAAAGATAAAAGAAGAATGGTAATTTAACGAGCGTTTCTTCATCTGCATCTGTTCAAAAATGTGCCCTTACTATTTCAAACCAATGTAAGTAACTGCATACTAGTCGATGCTCTCATCAATGTCACAGAGTAAAAATCATTACTTTGTCTTTCACTATTTTATTTCTTTAAATACATTAATTTTCTTTCTGTTAATTGTCGAATGTCGTTATTGAAATTTATCTAGAAAAAGAAATGGAAACATTTTATTCAATCTTGACACTCTACAGTAAAACTTCTCTTAGTAAATATGAATTTTAAAGAGATATCTACATCGAAATTTACTATATTCATTGTTGTTTTTCTGGATGCTAAAAGTTCAAGAAAGTGTCTTTATTTATTCTATGACGATTGATTATTTTCGTGAAAGAAATTTGACAACGATTTTGTAACTTCGCAACAAGAGCAACACCCACAAAACCAAAGATTAATATACATTGTTTTCATTACCATTTCAGGTATGTTCAGTGGAAAATATTAAAGGAAAAAAAATGAGTCGATATCTCCATACAATTGTTTGTTTGTTTGTTTACAGATTGAAATCAAGTCTTAATCGAATATTTTCCTGGTCTAATAAGTTGCGAAAAATACATTTACTGACATTAATATTATCTGTTTACTGCTTTTATCGGTTACTTCTTGTGAACAAATATTCAAGCGAACTAATGGAATCATCATTATTTAACATAATTGCATCTTCAATGATTTATTAGAAAACAAAAATAAAACTAGTGTAAGACTATCTATTGAGCAAACATCTTGATGACCGTTTAGGAATGATATAACTAATATATTTTTACAGAGTAATGTTCATTGTTATCAACAATTTCTATGGAAAACAATTGTTCAGAGTCACATATCAATGAGTGTATTAATCATACTGCTGTATGTTGGTTCTGTATTATCGAGTATATTGGTTCAATGGTTGTATTCATATATTTGTCATGAAGAGATTGTGACATTTTATCGATGGTTCTGTTGATGTCGTAAGATTGTCATTTGTCCTGCTTGTACTTCAATTTTCAATCAACTAGTTAATTCATTATCATGTCCATCAATTGAAATACTCGGTGATATTCAGTATGTTTCAATACTCACGGTACAAAACTATTCGCCCTTTACGTTTGCCTTTTCTTTGATTGTTCTCCTGGAATCAAATATGTATCAATTAAACACAGAAATAAGCATGCTAAAACTTGTCAATTATTTATTGAAGGAAGTCTCAATCATTTGTCTTTCGATTTATATTCAATGAAATAAATTAACCAAAAACTAGCACAACGAATTCAATCACTTTTTTAGATGAAGAGAAAGAAAAATCTTTTCATTTTTTTTTCTGTAGAACACTTATCAAAAGTTTGTTTGTCCTATGTAAAAATGGACATAAAGACGCAATTGATAAGATCTTCTAACGATTGAATGATTATAATGAGACGAATAAGTAATGAAAGCCTACACCAAGTTTTATCAGTTGTTAACGTCTCGCAACAAGTTGGATATCGGTTTATTGAGGACAGATTTAGTAACGTAGAGTTAATTTCTTTTTACTCCTTTATGGAACCACAATCTGAAAGACAAATTATGGATTTTATTAGATTAAAAGTGATTCAATGGAGTATTATTTTGATTATGATCGCCGATGTATTATGTGATACAAAGTCAAGCAAATCTTGCCCAAATGATAGTGATGCTTTACAAGTAAAAATTGAAACAGGCGATGTATTATATGCTGTTACAGATTCTCAAGTTACTATTCTTCTTCATAGTGGTAATGGTGTTATTTGTCAAGTCTTGAATTTGGATAATTCTGATAATGATCGTGAACGATATAGCATCGATGAACATGAAATTTGTTGTTCAAAAGATTTTAATGATGATAATGAATTAAGCATGATAGCTTTGGCTCAATTACCCAAAGAAAATTTTGTTCCTTTTATGAGTGATGATTAGTTTATTGAACGTATTGAAGTGCGAAAAGAACAAAAAACTTCTCTTCGACTATCGCTTTCATACTTGAACATAACCTTCAAGTAAATTCATGTTTGGCGTGTCGAAAATTAATAACAAGAACTATACTCGCTTTTAAATCATTATTCTCTTTGTCTTTTCTATATAAACGCGCAACTTCTGACATGCCATTTCGATCGAAATTATTTTTTTTTAGAGAAAAGTGCAGTGATATTTGACGATCATTCTTATTTTTAAGTTTATTACGAAGAAAAAATTACAGTCGCAACCATGCAAGTCATTTCGAAGAAGGATGTGGATGTGAATGTCGATGAAAACGGTGTCAAAACCCACACGCCACCGACTCGACATATTTCAAAGATTAATATAAAGCTATAGGTAACCGATAAGCCTGAAAAGAGAAAACAGTCTTCTTGATGAAAAATATCAAAATTTTCCCACTTTCTCCCTGTTTCTTTTTATCAAAAAAGTAGCGAATAATCAGTTTATTCTGGCATGATACATTCTGTTGAGTTGAAACCTTTTTCTAATAATAGTCAAAAGTGTTTGGGTTACGTATTGTTCGGATTTGGAGTATATCATAGGCATGCTTCTTCGAACTACAATGGCACAAAAACTTGATTTGAATATGTATGCTTTTTTCGCCACGTAAAAAAATCCGTTAATAGGAATAGAAACATGCTTGTTGACGACATTTTTTTTCGTTCTTTAACTTCAGACAAACACAAAAATAAATCTCATTTTTCTCACAAGTTTTCTTGTTCGAAATAATAGATGCAAATGGATAGTTGATTCGGACGAAAATGTTTTAACCAAGAATCTGACATGTTTCAGTCGCCAGACACGAAAAAAACTTCACTTATTCTTTTTCGCCCACCTCGATGTGTGCAGACGAACAACATGAATCACACTTGTTCATTCTGCATATGTAAGAACCCAACAAAGAGTTATTGCACAACTTATACATATAAAAACTGCAGTCAACTTTCCATAATGTCTTACTTTCTGATTTGATATTCTTTAATTTAAATCGACAAAAAATGGATTCAGACACTATAGTTATAACTGCTTTCTGTTTTACCACAATAAATGCTATACTATTAGTCTCGTTTTTCATAACTTTCATAATTGGCTATAGAAATTACATTCTATTTCCAAAGACACAACAACAGACTCAATGTCGAATTAATAAATCAAGTATTATGAAATGGACTAATAGAAGATTTCAGGCGATATGAACTGTCACATATAATGACCGTCAATTGGACAAAGTGTCAAAAATATGTTTAACTATTTAATTACTCAACGTATACAGATGCAGTAGAAGCAACAACCAATCAGTATCAAGTAAGGATGAGTTTTTGTTCAGAAAAAAAGTTATTAGTGAAAGACAACTACCAATTTGAAGCTGAGATTAAATGAATTGAAAAACAGATATTATTTTTGGGTTCTTATTAGAGAGGATTGGGTAACTTTATGATCGGAGGAAAAAATGATGATTTTCAGTGGAAAGATGACTCCTAGGTCAAAAATGGTTCCTCATCATCAGAATAAAACAATAAACAAGAAAGATAATGCTATCATAGGAAGAAATAATGCTTCATTTAGTTGAAGATCTTGTAGGTCTATCAGCGAAAAAATGAAAATCAACAGGAAAAATAAAGCCAGCTATGGAAAAATGACCATTTAGCTCGGAATAATCCTCTGATTGCTAGAAATAATGTTTGATTTAGTGTTAGGTCTCATAGGGTGTGGATATGAGTGCTCTTCACTAGCACTCACATGCATACCCACACCCGCACCTTCACGATTATGAGAAAAAGAGCATATGTGCAGTAATGTATAAGAAAATTTTCGAGCACACAAAAAAAATGTGTTATATTTAGCAATAACAAAAAAAAACTCTATTCACTGGAACATTCCGTATGATAGAAGAGCTAAGTAGGAGAAACTGGCGAAAGAAAAAATTTGGAATAATGTATAACATTGATAAAAAAGATTTATTAAATAAAGAAAAAGAACAGAATAATTCAAATTTACATTTAGACAAAATTTTACTCGACAAAACACAATGCATCTAACAGCTCATTAGCATCGATATCACCATTCTCGTAGCTCTAAGATAAAGGATTAAGCCATTATTGATTAGCGTGTATTTTAGATGTTTTTGTTTTGTGTTATTTCCCACCCACATACATCTTTTATATCGCAGAAGAGCTCATTTGTTTAATGAAATCAAATGATAAAATTTTTATTTTATTCTTATGAACTTTGCTATTACAATCGAATGGAGTGCGGGTGTGGGTTAGGGAAAGATCACAATCAACATCCACATCTTCGTTTTCTTTTTCTAACATATATTTCTTAAAATATGAATGATTTCTAAGAGGATTTGTGCCTGTATCTTTCTTCTTAATGTATGTCACATAACAATTGAAACATGAAGCATATCCATCAATAATACAAAATGTACTAAAACCATCTTTTTTGCTGAACATTCCAAACTAGTATATAGTCATATTAGACCAACCGGAATAATTATAGTAAAACAATTTTGATAAATTTGTTTTGTTGAGTGATGCAACCATTAAAGAATAGTATATCTTGATTTCTAAAGGTCAATATGGAAAAGAAGATAGAATAAAGAAATATCAATCCCACCACTTATCTGGGCTGCTCCACCATTATTGAAAAGAAAATGAATGTGTGTCCATATATATGTTGTGGTCGAAGTTAAAATTCAGTCAATTTTAAATTTGCCTAGGCAAAATTGAAATTTTAATTTCGTCTAGACGAAATTGAAATAGTGTTCCGATGAATAGAAAGTAGTAAAGAAAGAAACATTTAAAGTAAAAACAAATGTTTTTTTAATTTTACAATCTTTATTTAATACACACAATATGAGTCCTAAATTAGTTTAGTGCATGTTTGAACATCCATCCCTCTTCGAATGACATTTGGTTGAGCAGAAAACGTTTTCTTTTTTACATGGACATGATTTTTGTTGCACACTTGCCCTGACATTACAAGTTCGGCCAGTTGTAGAACCACGAGAATAAAGTTTTGAAGCTTCAATGATGGTGATTGGCTTTAAAGTACTAGCATCAATTTGTTTCAATTCATTGGGACAAGCATCTTTTAAATTCATAAATTGTCCGGCTTCATATGTATTTTGTAAAATATCATATTGACAAAATTAATTTATATAAAGAAACATTATTTTTTTCGTTTTTTTCAATAATTAAACATGGTAAATATTTTGGATCGGTATTTGTTCTATCAACCGTATGAATTGCAATACCAACACAATCATTTATATTAAAATTATTAGCAATAAGATTTAAACTATCTTGATATAATTTCATTTTTTTATTAGCAGTTGTTAAATAATTATCTGTCGCAATTTTGCGAACCAAATCATGGTTTTTTGGTGTTTTTTCGGTAATTGGTGGCGATCTGGATGTTGATGGTGTGTTAGATAATGAACAAGAAACAGCATCATTAGATAATTTATTAACAAGATCAACTACGTCAGCATCAATACGTTTGTCGAAATTAATTAAACTATCACCTTGATCATCATTTAAATCATCATCTAATTCAGCAACTGGAGTTGGTAAGTTTTCTTCATCTTCGACACCGTTCTGTTGAATTAACTTCCAAAAATCAGAATCAGAACGAGGTTGTTGTCCAAACATCACTTCATATGGTGTTGTTTTGGTTACAGAAGACATTTTTGTGTTAATACCATAAATAACTAGTGCTAGAGCAAAAGACCAACTTGTAGAACTATTAGTGCATATTCATTTGCCGAGAGCATCACATAAAATTCCATTTGCTCTTTCAATGCATCCTTGACTTTGTGGATGCCTTGGTCTTCCTCGAATAAAAACTAAATCTGGAAATAGATTTTTTAATTCTGTAATAATATGCGAAATGAATTCACGGCCATTATCACTATGAAGTATTCGTGATGGTCCAAAAGTAAAAATAAATCACATAATTTTGTTGCAACTTCCTTAGCAGATTTATTTCGTAACGGAAAGGCCCATGAAAATTTACTAAAGTGATCGATGCAATTTAAAATCCAAGAATAAGTAATATCAGGTGACGATCTATCAGGTCTTGTACGCATGTCGATCAAGTCAATTTGGAGGCGTGCCATTACTCCTAATGAAATAATAGGCTTTGAGATGACATGTTGTTTAAGTGGTTTTCTTGTTTGACATGGTAGACATTGTTTTAAGAATATTTCAACACAAAATCGAGGAATCCACGAATATTGCGAATTTAATTCAAAATAAGTTTTTTCACCACCACCATGTGAGACAGCAGCGTGCGCCTCATTTATAACATTATATAAAATGCTTCATAAACACAAATTGTTTTTTTGATTTAATACAAGCAACAATATCAATACCAGCTATTTTAATTAAGATAAATTTATGTTTTACCCAATAAACAAATGTTGATGAATATGCATCAGATCGGGAACCTTTTGGTGATAGTAAGCATTTCAGGATATCATCGTAAACTTGTTGTTTGATAACACATTTTTCACGAAACATTTTATCTAATGAATTAATATATTCATCCACTTTCTCATAATAAATTTTCTCATCATGATTCATTTGAACGATTGTTGAATTTGATTCCATCATTTTTAACGATATTATGTGTGGGTGTTTCTATATATATTCTCCTGTTCATCGGAACACTATTTCAATTTTGTCTAGGCAAATTTAAAATTGGGCTTAATTTTAATTTCGACCACAACATATATAGCTGTACCTAACAAAGGCGCGAATATATAGAATCGATAGATATAGTATCATGAACAAAGCACATGGAAGAATGTTGAAAGCGAAAACAAAAGGCATAATAAACGAGATAGTTAAATCTACTTCGACGACCGAGAAAAGAGACGAAAGAGAAAGAGAAGAAGATGAATTGTGTTTTATGTAGGTCACGCTTGATCATCTGACTACACAATAAATATCGAGGAGCTGATTGATCACATGTGTCGTATCGTGATGGCAGTTTCATTGAAAAAACCTTTTCGTAAATCATTTCTTAAAAATATAAATTAATTCATGGGTTCACTGATGAATTTTACCTCAAAATTTTGGTGGGTAGGTCAGGACTAACCCATGGATGCTTCAACCCAATGCGTACGGCATCTCTAACGTTTAAGAGTCTTTAGAGAAAATTTTTTCAGCATTTGATAGTGTCATCTATGTGACACATTTCATTGGACACAGTCAACACGAACAGAAAAAGATAGTAGAAGTAGTATGTTTATGTTTATTTGTGCACTATAAAAAGTGATAATGAAATAAAAAACTGATTTATCTTCATTTTCAACATGTTCAACGTCCCTCTGGGTCATTGGGATAAAAAATACATTCGTTCTAGTCAGATCTATGTTGTCAACATCTAATAGAATCATATCGTATGGGATATATGTATATAAGAATTTTGATTTATAAAGAAACAACTGGATTCGTTTGTATGCGGCGTCACTTATGTTGGTTTACATCGAAACAAAGCCATTTAGATTTATTTTGTCAACAACCAAAGATTAATCAATATTACAAGTCTACAACAAATGAATGAAAGGTAGAACGTAAACATATGAAAGATGCTGTTAGAGTAGCTTTTATTGAATTTGCAGCACAAGATCGGCGAGCTTTTCGATTGGGTAAAGGATCTGGTGGTATAAATCTAGCTGGATAATTATTTTGAAAGCGGGAAACTTATGTCACTGTCACCTGATATGCATATCGGAGACATATGACTAGATCCAACTACTTTGAGTAATTTTCTGTTAAATATTAACAGTACCCATATCATCAAAATCGTGCAAAAATGAGTAATTTTATCGCGATTTATTAGCCCAGTTATCGTGAGATTATGTCGCGATTAATTGTCTAAACTGACGATTTTTTCCGATTGTTAGAGAAGATAGTAGTTATTCAAATACAAGATGGCTCATAAATAGGACTACAGTAAAAAGATGAAATATCTCCACATCATTTCAATAAAATGGCTGATATTTTGGTTAGTGGTAGAAGTTCATTCAAAGTTTTTTTTTCATGCGAATAACGTAAACGAATACTAGTGCTAAGTATAATTGTTCGTATCATGAAAGGAATTTTACTTTTTATCAAGTAAAACAGAATACATGTGTAGAGTTTCCTAGATAATTTTCATTTGTCACTTACGAGAATAATAAGAACAAGTTAAAACGAACTTTATGAATAATTATGTATTGATACGCCTAGAGCAAATTTTGAAAACTAATTAGTTAGTTTAGAAGTCAATGGTTGCAAAATTTCCAATTTTCAAACATGAAACATTCGTTTTTGCAGAAATTTGGTGTTTTGGTACTACAATGGTTGCAACTGTGTGTTTTATTTATGAGGCACAAATTTCAGCATTTTAACTGACTGCGTAGTTTTGAAAACTTGCTCTGTGTATATCAATACAGAATCATTTACAAAGTTCGTTGCCACTTGTTCTTATTATAACTTTAGAAGAACACTTAAACTTATTTGTGAAACACTGCACATCTATTCTTTTTACTTGATAACAGGTAAAGTCGCTTTCATGAAATCAACAATAATACTTAACAGTAGTATTTGCTTACGTTAACCATATGAAGAAAGAAAAACTTTGAATGAACTTCTACCATTACCTAAAACATCAGCCCATTTAATTGAATTAGTGCGAAGATGTTGTATACTTTTTTTATATCTTAGTGTTATTTAAGGGCCGCCCTGTAATATTTCGATCTACGACTATGGGTGCGTCTCGGCGTGTATACCACCATCGTTTACCATTGTGATCAAGCATGTTTCTGGTGAATGAGGCGAGAGATGATTTCTTTCTTCCCATCCGCAACAAAAAAGTGCAAAAAGAATGTTTTAACATAATAATACTCACTGTTCATTTTGATGATGAGATGATTTAAATAGAACAAAAAAATATTTATTCTAATATAATAATACTTACTGTTGAAATTTGTTGGAAAATCGCCGATTAGTCGCGATTAAGCATCAAAAGTAAAGCGATTTTTATGATGTGAGTAGAGTTCGGCCAGACATAAAAATATTTTTTAGTTACATGAGCAGATATCGCACGAATGCAGCCGCATTGCTAAGAGCACTATATCACGCTTTTGCGTACAATGGATAGCTACTATCTAACTGTGGATTTCTGGTCAAAAATCTATACTACGTGATAATGCAAATATGTTTTTCGAAACAAGAATATGTTTTACTACTTTTTTCTCGCGGATATATCCTATTGTGGACTGTCGATTACTCATATTAACGCGGAATATCAATCATAAATATTCATATTTGGTTGTTTTCCGTACACATGGAAAAACAAACGAGCTCCAACAATTCGTTCGTTTGCTGATGATGTACTCAATACCTTTACTATTAAATAAGGTCAAGAAAACTTTGTTATGACTACTAGTGAGCTGACGATGAAGCATACATTTAGTTAGCATTGCAAACGTATTGGATGTAGTGACCATTACATGAATAAGCAATTCGAGCATGCCTTCACGTCTGAAAAAACTGGCGGTGAAAATGTTAATTGCGAATTAATATAACAACTTTTTTGCAATATTAAACTCATTGTTTGAAGTTTTCGTTTAATGTACAAACAAATAAATCTTTCAAATGTATTAATGTCTTACAATAAAACACGCTTCAGTAGGGCATATCTAATGGTAAACATTGCTTTTTCTATTTTTGATGGAACTGTTACTGCTCTTGATAACAGACTTTTGACAGTTTATTACATAATTTATGCAACTTTTTGTTGCCGTTTGATATTATTCTCGACACCTTGAGTGACAATAAATTATCGATACTTCGTCATGTATTAGGCTATGGGGGTGGGTATTTAGAATTTCAACTTTTGCTGCTTTCGTATGTTTTTCTTTTTATTAGGAACAGTAATATCTATTGTCATATAAAAACCTGTGTTATTATTTAAACGTCAAAGCTTAAATTTCATATCGAATCATGACAATTTGAAACATGTTTTATAATCACGATCACATGTGATCGTGGTTATAATGTTCACGCACATTCTTACTCGCATCCACCCTTAATAAGATAGGATTATTAAGAGAACGGTTTGTCATCAAATAGAATTTCAGGCTAAAGACGTCCTACTCTGTTAGCCATTATATATAGGACACAAAAAATTATCTATTTTCGCGATCGTTTCTAGCGATGCCATACTTATTTTTTATGCGATTGTAGATCATAGACTACTGTAGATGGTAAACTTACCAAGGGCCGTTTCAAAAGTGACAAGTGCTCTAGAAAAGAGTAACAACTGAATTTCGGAATCTTCTTCAGAAGCTCAAGTTTCTCCAAATACTCATGGACGAGCGTAGTATTGTAAAGAGTTCATATTTCTAGTCAGACTGCCTCTATGAATTTATGTACACTGAAATTATCAACCCTCTTTGTTCTGCCAATCGTGACACATAAGGTCTTAAATTAACTTACAAGAATGAATTCCTTTTACACATATAAAATCCACAGAACACCTATTGATTAATTGCTTCAGCTCAAATTATTCTTGTGAGTAAAAGTCATACGTAAAGGTATCCAAAAATATTTCAGCTCGATCGAACAGTTCTTTTCTAACATATTCAATCCAAGAAATCATATGTTTCTGTGTCATGAACTTTTGTGACTTTTGGGGAAAATAAGAAGGCATGAGAGTGCTCCACAATTTTCGAAAAGAAATTTTAACCAAATTAAAAAAAAGTGGTTTTATACAATATATTGTGTTCAGCGAAATCAGAGAATCACGATTGAACATATTCTGTAAAATGTGGTCATGACTTTCACGTTGTGCCTCATCTAACGATAACTGGATCATACTTGTTTTTTGCATACATCAGCAGCGTTGACATTTCTGATGCAACATTTATATGTTTTAGATTTTATTCTGTAATGACTACCTCACCTTATTTCAACGAAAAAAGCATATTTTCATACCCACCTCCAGTCTATACGTTATCAGCTAAAGATATGGCATCAAAAATGCGTAGTAGCCACAATGATGACGATGACAAGCGTTATGATAATATTATGGATTGTCCAACGGAAATACATTGTACGTTGCCTGATGGTATCAAAGTTGAAAATCATTCGACCCCGGACGGACAAACAAATTGGGGTCTGTATGCTTCAAAGCTGTTTCCAAAACATTCGGTTATTTATGTCAGAGAATATGGTGGTTATATTTATGACAAAAATGTCAACTATAAATTGATTATTGAACCAGAAGGTAGATAACCTATATTTTGGAAGATAAAAAATTAGTCATTAAAGAAATGCCTCTCCGTTGGTTAAAAAATAACAGTCGTGACAAAAACTAATATTTCTCATATCCCATAGTGCTCTAATGTCTGTATAAGACACTGTTCTGAAACGTTGTGGATTTTAATAATATGAAGACCCTAGCCGTAAGTCTTATCAATAAGTCATCACTCTTCACATAACTGTTTTTTGATAGGGCACTGGCAGACATGCAAATTCTGTAGGCTTATTCTGTACTAGAGAAGGCTATTATTAGCTTACGATTCAAAAAAATATATAGAGAAATAATGGGTTCAAAATCTGGAAATGTTATGTTTCTACATATGAAAGTGAGAAATTGTGTAGCAATATCTCCGAAATATCTGGCATTGTGCATGAGTGTTGGAGCACAAAAGCGTCTCGTGAGTGTCACTTTTTTTACGAAATTCGCTCGCTCTACTTTCCCTGCTAATAGAACTTCTATTCCTTCAAATTTTTGGAACCCTTCGTCTTGTTCGGCAATAATTGGCTCTCTTGAACAATCGAAAGGAACTTCCATTTAACAGATTCGTTGATTTTTAGCATCGATAACCTTCTTCTAATGAAACTATATTCGTCAAGAATCTTTTCCTGAAGCTTTAATCGCAAATAGGTATGCGCCAGTCTGATTGGAAATCGAGTTATTTGATCTATAATTGATTTGATGATCTCTATTTTTTTGGAATGCATTATAATTGCCTGAATATAATACTGCTAAAATAATGATAAACAATAGGATATCGAACTAATTTATCGTTCGAAGATTGATCTCTTTTTCTAAAAATATCTGCAAGTTATGTGATGTAGTTTTTATCTATCAGACATAGTTTGCTACTTTTTTCAATCTTCCTTTCTAACTATGAGAAAACATTTATTAATGGAAAGCCAAACTAGGGGCATTCAGCGTAATATTAATGAAAACATGCTGCAAGAGTAGGGAAACAAATGAGAATTCAGTTCAGAACAATATTATCCAACTATGATGCAAATAGTGTTATCTTACACAAATTTACTGAACTCTCTTCGCAATAATAGAAAGTTGTACTTTGTATAAATTTATATTTGAATGCATTATTCAACAGTTTTATTTGACAAAAGTTCGAACCAATGTAAATATTGCATTTTATATCTTGAGGTATATAAACCATTTGCTTTAGTATACAATTTCCATAGAATGACTATTATATAATAACATCGATTCGCAGAAAGTATTCATTAGATTACTGCTTGTTGAAAATAATAAAGATACAGGTTACAGCTGATACTGATCAGTATCTCTGAATTAATAGTTGTCTTACTCGAGTATGGTTTTTCATCATTTGTATTGTATTAGATCAATCAGATTCCTTTGGCTATTGTTTCAATGAGTGAGATTATTCTTTTCTGAGTTGGGCACTGTCAAAATAGCAAGCATTCTTCTCTGAAAAGCGATGAAAGAAACCTAATGTATTGAGTAGTTGTTAGTAGTGAAGAGAAGTCGTCGTAAAGATGATAACAGAAGAAAACTGTTTGTGAATGAGAGTCTCAGAAAAATCTGATTAATTAATGGGAAATTATTTTATCATTTAATAATTACTAATGATTCAATAGGTAAATAATACAAGAATAATAAATGAGTTCGATATCATATTACTTATTAGTATTTTAGCAGCATTATATTCAAACAATTATAGTGTATTACAAAGAAAAATACTGATCGCGGAGTCAATTATAGATCAGTTAACTGGATATCCAGTAACACTCGATACCTAGCCGTATTGTGGGATCCAATCGATCAGTCAAGACAGAGACTAGCGCATACCTACTCTCAATTGTATATCATAGAGTATTGTGAATTATTCGTCCTGTTAGTGTTTCTTTTGTCCAAATATGGCTTTAAAACATGTTGAAAATCGTTCATGACGACTGGTTTAAACGATAAAACACTGGAGACAAGAATCCTTTTCGAAACTTTGTTAGACTAAGTCCATGTGATTTAAGCCACTTTTTGGAAAAAGTTTTTTTTCACATTCCTTTCTTCTAGTAAGGCTTATCTTTGAGAGAACATCAACTTTCATCGAAAAAAGACTTATGCACCTAAAATGGCGAGAATCCATGTTATTTTCTGGTCATGGCTCAAGCTGGTTATTTACTTTACTGAAAATGTTCGGACTTACTTGTCTATTCGGTGAATGATCACTAAACTAATACAACTTTCAAAGAATTGTTTTTATGGAAATTAGATCGAAATATTAGTATTTGAATAAAAAGAATCTTTTGGAAGTTGTATTAGTCTAGGCATCATATAGTTATGGGTAAATATGAGTTCAAAATGTTTTTTAAGTACATATTTCGCAGAGACGTACTCAGAAAGGGATGTAGTTGTTCATTATTTTAGACACATTCGGGTCTCTTTCTTTGGACATTGATATTTTCGTCAAGGATATGTGGAGTTGGTACGAGAAATTATGAGAAAAAACTCTTCCCAAAAAATTCGTGTCAATTGAATGGGTTAATCTCTAGTTAATTAGTTCGAACTAAATAATATCGATATGGTTAAGCAAAAAAACTAAATACCATGAAAGCCGTTAGCTTGTTTGCCTAGAAACTGAATACCTTTGACAAAGTAGGAAACTAAGAAAGCGGTTGTTAAAAATTGTTATTGTTAAAATAAGAAAAATTAACAATAAGAATAACGCATCACTTACTTTTAGGTCCATCAATAACATTGAATACTTGTCGACATTTGGTTAGATGTGCCAAAGGTATACGATCACTGATAACATATGCAGCATTAACGAATCATAGCTGTGATCCAAACGCTTATTCAGATAGAACATATCATGGCTTAACAGAGATCAAGAGACAGCTGCTGTTGCATTGCGAGATATTCATCCGAATGATGAAATTACGATGGATTACAATTTGGCTGTATACGCCATGAAAAGTAAAAAACATGTATCATAGTCATCGTAACACAATATACGATATTTCAGCCGAAGAAATCGTTCCCAGTGATTAATTGCTTTTTAGCTAGAACTTTGTGCATAAGGTAAACTCCAGTGAGATATAAAAAAAAATCGACAAGGATGAGTCTCTCCTTATGTGTTTCCTCTAGAGTTATAGTCATCTTACTAAAATTTCAGGCTATGACACGGTATATGCCAGCATATCGAGTGATGGTATGTCGACCTGATATTTTGTCTACAGATAATCCTAATTGTAACTTGAATGGTCGAAAAATCTGAACTCAAGGAAAAGTATCTTTTTCAAGATATTCGATTTCCGAAAGACATGAGATTATCGATGCTTTCATGGGATTTAAGTGGTTTTTGAAAATTCAATACCGTGTAAAGAAAATGTTTTGTTGAGCTGAAACTGACAGGGCATTTCCATAACAAGTAAATCTGTGAGAAAAAATGTCAAGTCGAAAAACTCTCATTATATTCATTGGTGCATACTGTGCACAGGCTGAAATCTCAGTGAAAAGACTATAACTCTAAAGAAAAGGCCATAGAGCACTCATCCTTTTGGGGATATTTATACCACTTTGAAACCTATACCCATTTCCATCTAGTGTAAAAGTCTGACGTGGAAAAGTCCTTGGAAGCCATTAAGTCTTGGATCGAGACTGTATGCATCCTGGGAACCCTAGTGAGCTATGCATATTCTAAACAACTGTCGTATCCTTCATTTCTTACGGATGTGTGTAAGGGTGATTCACACTTAAATTTCACTTTTTGTACGCTTGGAACTATATTGGTGTGACTTGTAACCAGAATACAGAGAGGACGGGCACAACTAAGACAACAGTGTTCATGCTTTCAAAAAAGAAAAATTCGAAAATTTCTGGAATTTTCAATATTTCTAAAAGCTTTTGATTTGCACTGCTATACAGTTATCGAGATGATGGAAATTTGGGAAGTTTCGGTAATTTTGTTTTTCGGAAGTCTGAACATACCTCACTAGCTTGAATAAAAAGCTTCCTAGTTTTTCTCAAAGTATGTCTGATAAACACCTTTCTCAAAAGATGTATTCTTTTTTTGTCTATTGAAATTTTATTACACCATAACGATGTTCATAGATAGATACAACGCAAGATGAGTACCAATTGAAAAGTTATTTTCTTTATGCAATATAACTACGATAACGTGTTCATTTCACTAAAAATTCATATCTCAGAAACGCCTTGATCAGCAATTCTAATATCACAGTGAGTAAGGATGAAGAAACAAGTCATTCACTCTACCACAACCTCAGTTTCGATTACATGGTTCTGATCAACATTGCAGTCTCTACAAATTGAAGTACGTTTGAAATAATGATCTTTTTTTTCGAAAATTACTGTACACCCTGCCAAAGAGATTTGGTTGGTCGATCTCTTTGTTTTGTTTTTCTTGACAACAACCCTTGCCATTTTATCGGAAATGACTTTCTGATCTTTTGAATACAGCAATTTTTCATAAAGCTTCTTGATCCAATTATAAGTTGGTTCAATTGGTGCACTGATATGATCTTACTCATCACTACTGTTAGTGACTTTTAACCCCAAAGTTACTTTTTGTTTTATCAAAACAATTTCAGCTACTTTGTAGAGCAGAAATATGTACGCGACATATTTAACAATCAGTTATGAGAACTCTTGATCCGACTCTATAAGTGTAGATACGCTACCAAAACCGATCCCTTTTCGTCTTGACTTTGAATAGCCTTTCTCCAATTAAATTAAACAAATGATGAAATTAGACATCAAAATCGCTAATCTTGTTCTTTTTTTGATACTTTCTCCTAGTACATATGAGAAATTTTCAGTCGAATCGTTACCAACATCGATGACTCAAATCATGAAAGCATTTTTTGAGAATGGTCGAATAGTGCTCAAAAATTGCGGCATATCAACATTTGAGAAACCTGAACGACGGCGCTGAAAATTTGGATTCAGAGTTTTCAGTCATCCGTAATTCAGCGGTATATGCGAA